TCATCCCCCAAAAAATAGATTGTTTCTGATCTTTAAAGAATTACTTACGAGAATCTGTTAATACGAAATGTTATTGCACATTAGTCTTTGTGATTCACCTGATGGAGGCGAGTACATTCTGCCAAAACTGAACGAGAAATACGGTTCAGATTCTACTGGGCTATAAGCTATCGTGAGGTGTTTCCAACATAAGGCTTTTAAGGAGTGGCTTAATAACAGGAGACTGCCTTTCTGCTGAGGTACATTGATGGGATTCTATTCTATAACGCGTCGAATAAGACGTCGAATATACCTGAACATTAAGTTATAGACAGTAAACAAATTTTTAAAGAGTTGTAATAATATTTCATTCGTCGGTAATTAGTTATCGCAATAACGAGTGTCTCTGGTCGTTGAACCGAAAAGTACGATGCGATCCCACAGATTTACCAGCCACCAAGTTCCAGCACTCGAAGCGGCGATCACGTATTAAAGAATCTACATGTCGCAGAACAAATGTAAGACACGATTATAATTCAATGAGATGGAAGATGGGTTTGAAAGGCGTAGCAGGGATACGGGGCTAAGATGTGGGGTGAAGACAACGAAAAGGAATTAATTCTAGTAGAATTCTGCGCTGCGAGAAGGTTCTGAGTTGACTATTTGCCGTACAGTAGCATAGATGTGTGGTTTCATATATAATAGTGTCGATTTAATCTGCGTCCGTGACACTATACTGTGAACAAGGGCTCCCGCGGATTTCCGTGAGCAAATAACGCCATAACTTTCTCGTGTCCGCTAGGAGATTGACCCAGTTCACCCCGTTGCATTAGAGGCACGATTGACTGCTAAATCCCTTGGATATATGATTGGTATCGTTTCTTACCAAATATGGTTAGCTGTACTGTACAAACATACAATATGAAACGTTTAGTTCAACGAACACAGTCATGTAAGCTGACCCATTTTTGGTCTGCCGAAGACTATATCTAATGCACCTACACATTATCTTTTCGCAAAGGGCATGTACTATCCGTCAGAACTAGCGCGCAATCCAATTGTTTCAATATTAAGTTGACGCCAGCTGGCAGAAATGCCGAGTTAGCTTTTGCACATTTTCATAATCTCTGACACCTAGCTATCGTCGCCTCGCGGAGAAGCATTCACAAACTGTATCACAAATGTCGAACGCTTAGACATCATACTTATGTCTTTACTCCACGCTCTTTTCCTAGAACCGCAGAGCGTATAGCCGGTCGTCGGATTGTAATCGAGTCCCAAGGAACGAACGCACAAAAGTGCTTTGCTTTATATTTAGAACGACCGATCATGTTCTTGTCCGTAGCGTCTTATTCTGCTAGCCTATTATTGTCTACAAATGCACCTACCTTAGTTGTGTATACCGCCCACTACTGTCGGTCGTTTGGAGACGTCGTGGCGGGTTGCTTCGAACGTATCCTGCACGGAACTCGAGAGTCTGCTATGATCAGGCACTGTCCGTTCGTTACTTAGTTATGTGTCTCTGTAAGAGCCTGCTTTGAATTCTCTCTCTTTCACTCTTCCTGTCACTTCACGACGTTTCGTGGAAGGGTCGCCAGTGTAAAGCAAGCTAATGGTTGACGAAGGGCCTTGCGCGCTTCAATGCGCGAGCAGCGCTACAACAGGTTTTTACTTTTTCGCGTTCATTAAAGAACTGTCCCAGTTCGCCCTACGCTGTTCGACGTGAAGCAAAGTCCTTCTTTCAACAAGGCAATCACTACAGATTCACTATCTACCACCGTATCCAGATAGTTAACTATAGCACGTTGACGAAACTCACCGCTTTAACCATGTGGTATTTATTTTGTATCCTGGACAAAAACTCTAACACAAACGAGTCTCACAGGGATAAGCTGCACCACTGCCAATCATCGAGAGGTGACGCTACGTATCCAGTTGTTGCTGTATTGACGCCAGTCTGAAGTGCAGAACTGGTGGTACTTTAGAGTAGACACAGTGGCAGCAGCGCTAACTGCTGGCGACGGCTGCAGGGGGCCCTTGATTGTGATAGTAATCCATGGAACGAACACGCGACGTGGCACAGAGCATAGGCTGCTCTCTCTTTCCTGAGGGGGGCTAGACACAAGTGAAGGCGACCACATCGATTACGCACACTAGAGTCTTCATTCCCAAAATGGCCCCCAGACAGTAGCGCCCTCTGCTCAGGCCGAAGGCCGTATGCCCCTACGGTCTGTGGTGCTCCCTAGCGGGTCGTCCGGGAAACGATCCTTCTGTGTCTCTCAGCGAGGACAGATTGCCCCGCGCCATCTGGTGGGTTCGTTCTACGGCTCAGTAAGCAGTCGCTTTCGAGCGTGTACAGGTAGCAAGCAGCAAGCCGTATAAAGATAAATTAAATAGAACATTGTACAATTCTTGGAACGAACGAACGAACAAATGAAACACTAAAATATACAGATAGTCGCTTTCTTACGGTATTGCAGTGCTTTAAAATCACCACTACGAGAGTGGTGCGTACCGTTAAAATACATGCTTTGAAAGAAAGAGGTTTGTTTGTAGGTTCTCACTGTTTCTAGGAAGCTTTACTGTTAGCACTGGCAAAATTTTTCTATGACACACAAATGAGAATGTTTTTAAACCAGTTACTTATAGAAATATTGTACTCATTTCTGCACATTAATCAACTTTGACGAGCAATAATTATGCTAAATGTGTGCAGCGATTTATTATCTTTAATCGTAGATAGATTTTACGATTGTTGCAGAATCCCAAATTACTATGTGTTTACTAATCCATGAAACGTTAATATAATGGTTGTAGGGAATATTTCTACGCTTAAAACAGGATAGCATCGACTATGGAACTAAGTTACATTTTTGTTGGCGAATACGCGTAATTACCTTGATTAAAGTTACGTAACGTGCATATGTATTGAGTAACTGGGTTTGACCGAGCGTACCTTCGCTCTCCCAAAAAAAAACCGTTGCTTTAATTATCACTGCAATATCAATCTAAAATCTAATAGTCACACGACAGATATCCGAAAAAAGTGTTCATCGATGGAACTACATTTTTGTTATATTTTCTAGTGTTCTACTGAAGTACCTATCCTAATCAAACAAATGTAAATCTGCTTGCGTTTTTTTCTCGCTGCATGGCCTCCATGTAGGACATCGCTGTTGTCGTCGGCGTTCCCGCATCCTCTATCTTTAACCTCATGAGTAAGCATGCCGAGGTGGGTTGCTCGTAAATGGAACATTAAAACTTATGAATTAAGCCCATCTAAAAGCTCAGTACAATACGTTTTTGGCTATAGATTAGAAGTTATTTAACCGCCAGACTCCAATGTTCAAGTGTGTTGTTGAATGTAGAAAATTCCGCGAAGCCAATCATAATTACTATTTTGTTAGAAGTAACTGACACTGGATATATGCTGAGAGAACGAACACTCTGGTGGTTTTTCCATCATCTGGCTGGAATTTTTTCTTTATCGCGATCGTATTGTCAGTCCTTGCAGCCGTCTGTGGTACTAACAGAAGTATGTTTTTTCGTTATATTTGCAAAAAAATGCTCGGAAGCTTACCACAGAGATTACCTAACCAATAACCACTACGTCCAAGTTTTTCGTACAAGTTAGTAATTATGATTCGGCTACCAACAAATATCAAGAATCGTTATGATGACTGAGATAGGTTTTTGCGACCGCTCCTTCCAGAACAGTGGTAGAGATCAACACAAACAGGAACCTATTACAATGACATGGTACGGTCCACTTGGTCTTTACAAGCTCTTAGGAAAAAAATGCGAAAGTTGGTATTGCTTCGTCAATAAACCGGCTGTTCTCAAACGACATAAAAGGAACCCTCCTGTAACTCTTTACTATTTGATCACCTTGGCCGCTAATCGGCTGTAATCTCTGTCAGCATTATCTCTATCGTCAACGGATTTACTGAGTAGTGTATACGTATATGCTAATGGAACTGGATCTGTACTGATATCATGACAAGCTAGTTTATCACAATAACCTGACCCCCTCTGTATTGAAGAGGGCAATGCTTTTAGGCACCGTCAGACGGAGCGAGAGAGAAAAGGAAACTATACTACGTTTCGATTCACGGCTCTCTCCGGTGTGTGATCCTATATGGATCTGTTTAAAGGTATTCGAGTCTTAGTTAATTGAAACGTTGAACTTTTCTTATATGAATGTGTTGCGTCTAATTCTCAGTATGTGAAAATTGAAAGTTGCTAATCTTCACACCGTCCATACAGCTGGATGAAAAAAGAGCTTGTTTTTTCCACAGTAAAGGTAATTTTGAACTCATATAATATTTCCATCGATGGTAAATCTCTCTTCTCTCAACTTCGAGACATTTCTGCGACCATATCATGAGAGCAGATCTCGCTTGCATATCCTCTGGGTTCTTTTTAAAATCTTCAATTTCACGAACCACGTCGGTTCGTGCGCTTCGCGAGCGAAGAATAAACAACCATACATATAACGAAGAACGTCTACGCCGGTTCGAGTTTTTCCAGTTTTCACCTTGTCATTCAGCACGCAACTACTTGATCGAATATAATAGCAATCTTAATCATCTTATTTCGGATGCAGCTCAAAATTAACTAATATAAGATAGGAAGCTGCGTTTATAGAAGGCCACTCTTGTCATGTGGCCTAAGCCTCACGCGATCGACTTTGCGGCTTAGTCAACTTATATTCTAAGGGCTCTTATTGCCGTCTACAGAAGACGTTTGTCTTTTCTGCTGAATAACTTATCGACTTGTTTTTTCTCGTATACCATTTCGCTGACAGCGATGGTCTTCAAGACTAAAATAAATTACGAAGACAACCGTTGTCGATCCCAGCTATATCGATTGTCCAACCTATCTTGAAGGTGTTCGCTCTTCACCTGGACCAATCGCAATGAGGCAAAATACTCTTATGAATTATGCAGTTATTAAAGATACGTAACCAACTCAATAGCACTAGTCAACAACGAAGTATCGGCCGCTCGGGGCGTGCTTACCCTTATGTCGCTATATCCAAGTAAACGGGTCATTTACATTGTCTAACAATGTGAAAGTACAGGAAATCCTGCATTTTTATGCTCCTGAAAATTGCAACATGCCTTCGTTTCCGACATAAGGAAAAGGCGGTCACATGAAGTTCTTTGGGTCCTCATTGAATCATCTACAAAAGAAAAACAGCGAAGTGAACACCTTTTTTTGAAGTAACTGACTTTCGCACAGGAACATTAGTAGAAAGAAAGTTAAGGCTCGATGGGCGGCAACGTTTTTTACATTGTCACAAGTACGCTATAAGTGGCTTGCAGGGCCGTTCATGTAAAAATGTTCTGAAATGTAAAATAGGCATAAATCTCAGATCATGATCATTCGATGAAAGATGTATCAGGTGTAAATCCAATTTACTAATCACTTCCTTCCAAATACATTACAAAAAATGCATATGTTTACTACTAGTCTATAGTAGCTACGTCGGGTACGATTCATTGTCTATTCGTATAACATTGTCGGACAGTGCGAACTGCCACCAAATGTGTTCGACCCTCTGCGTAAATCAGTTACTCCGAACCTGCATGGGTGCTTTCCAGTTAAGCTTACACTTAGGTTTAAAGTCCTCCTTCATTTTTTGGGTAGACTGATCACTTCACTCACAATTGCAAGTTTCAGCACATATATATTGTCGATATTATCACCATTGATATGAAAGAGAAAGCCCTGCACATCTTTTGCGAGTGTAATATTTATACGAATTTACTCTTTTAGTTGTTTTACTTATTGCAAGGAACTCGCGCGCTTTTGAAGGAACTCACAAAAAGCAAATGTTTTTTTTTCTTTTTAAATAAAAATTCACTTTGAAAACCTACATTATCTTTATCTTCTCTCATAACAAGTAAACAATATAATTCGTACATACATTAATGAAATTAAAAGATCAGATTTTCGTTTCAGATACCAATAAGCTTCTGGCTGCATTCGTACACTTTGCTCCAAGAAACAAACTGTTTACTTACTGTTTCCACCACAAACAGTTTAATAGAACTTCATCGCTCTCTCGGCTATGTCCGTGGATTATTTCAACTAACCTTTTTTTTTTACTTTCGCCTCCGTACGATTCCGTTTCAACTTCATTAGACGAGAAAGAGGAAGACGTTTCGAACACGAATCAGCGATCAGCCGCTGGTTGTCTGCTCTTTGTGAGAAAACAAATAATTCGGTCGTCTAAATTAAGCTGGAAACATATCTAACCCGTTTCAATCATGACCACTCAAGGGAGGTCCTGTATCTTACAGTACCCTTTGACGCACTGTGTATTATAGAACAGAGTCACACACGATTAAAAAAGATGATTTTTGATGTTTATATATCTGTGATGACGATCATTCTAGCAGCGCTGTTAGAGAACGCGTCTCTAGAGGAGCTTATTCGTAGCTACAAAGTTTAAATAATCTTTTCGCGCTGCTCTGACCTTTATTGTCCTACCAATTATCTATCAAAATAAACCAAATCAAACCGACCTTCTTTCATCTACAAGATTGTTTGCTTTTCGTATTATAAGAATATTAATAATTTACTTTGCTAGTGAATTTGCAAGCATTTTCTGATTAAGTCTACTTTATCTTGTTGTCTTAAAAGTACGCTTTGACTACTCGGCCTCTTCGTGATCATATGTTTACTTCGCAAGCGATGACACCAAAAAAATAACATAAGATACGAAATTCGAATCGTAAGGCCATGCGGAACGTAGACATTTTGTTTACATCACCAAATCTACAGGAAAAATTAAAAAAAAAAAAGAGCCAATTGTATTTTGTGACGTTCCTGGAGCTTCATGGTAAACTATAGTACTAAAGATATTTGGGTAGTTTCGAGGACTTCTAAGTAATAGTTTCCGTAAATTTAAAACCAGGCACTTGAAGCCCATACTATTTACCCAAGTACGACAGCTGAACATATGTGTCGAGCTACCTGATCATTCACGTAGTTTTTGTTCAACTAGAACGAGCCAGGGCTATCGTTTTCCGCCCATTTACCCTGTAAGGGGTTTTTGCTTATTTGAGGAACCTTACGAAAAAATGAAATTATTTTTTCCCTGCAGTCCTTGAGCAGGCCAAGGTTATTAGATCAAGCTAATTAGTGTTTTGGAGCAAGCTAAAAGCTCAGCCGTTTAGAAACAGCTTGCTTGCAACATTTTTTAGTTAAAGCCGATAATATATTTTTTTCGAAGAATTGAATTCAGTAGCACGTATTACCCCCAAAAACAAAAGTAAAAAAAAAAAGAAGAAAACCTCTTCTCCTCATGGTGGTGACTTATTCATGCTCACCTAATTAAATTATGTGAAATGAACGCGGAAACTGCTGAATGTTACGCCCCTCACATAGCTTGAAGTGGTTTAGTGGAGAGATTGCAGTTAATTAGTTTCACCGGTAACGCTCGTCAGATTTGTCGCCCTACTCCAAACAATAAATCAAACATTACGTGCAGACAACGCTTAATATAAAAGTATGTCAATTTGTCTTTAATTGACTTCACATGCCATACACGAACATTCCGTCAAAATGTTTTTTGCAGACGTTGAGATTTGAGCCTGCGTCATGCAAAACTGGTTCATAGTATACCCACATCGCTATATTGTTTGAGATGATCGAAACATTTTGAACCAAGACAGAAAATTACAAGCTTAAGGTAATACAGTTCGCGCGCACTTTATGCGACGAAGTTTACTGCTAGACACGAGTGGCAATTGAGCACCTGTCTCAGCTGATTTAGGCATCAGGTCGACAGGCAATTTTTGTTACAACGAGCTGTCGCCTAAGGTAACCATTATAAATCAAAACTAACGGTAAGATCTATCAGATTTTATAAGTTAACGCCTACAGGTTTATTCATAATAATGATTTTTGCTTTTCGATACTTCTGGGTTTAAAATTAATCTTTTCTGACAAATGGTGACACAATGACGGGTCGACCTTGACAAACACAGAAGTGCAAGCAAGCGACTTGTTTTAGAAACAGCAACGAGTGGGCGAGATTACCCGTTCAGTACTTAAAGGCAGCTAAATGGGTACACTAGTAGTATGTAATCATATGCAAAAATCCCAGTTTCCCAGAAAACGTATTTTTTACATAGTTTAGTGCATTCATTTTATATATGAATTTAATGTAGCTTTGCGTATCTCTGACTATTAAGGTCTACTTTCCGCTTCATATATTGAATCTATTTTATTTTCTACGAAAGCGAGGCTTGAGAGAAGAAGGGAGACGAGTTCGGACACACCTACTCGATATATGTTTATTCTCCATTTATACACATGCGCCGTCGGCATTTTTTATGGGTTTCAAGAGCTTTTGGGCTATAGCAATAGAGAAACGAGACTAGACGCTATTCCATACAACTCTGCCAACGCTACCTGAAACGGCTCTTCCATAACATCACGAAAGAGAGCTGCACCTCTAGTAGCAAATACCTTGACTGATGTCCTACGCTGCCGTGGCGATGCTTCAAGCCGAGCTGGATTGATGCTGGGCGTTGGATATTCCCCATTCTTAGAGTTTCTCTTGGGGCGTTCCTCTCCGTTTGATGGCTCCAGTAGCCGGGATTACCAAGTCCCTGGGTTTTGCCACGATGGATGCAGGGCTGAGTTCTGAGTCAGAAGCCTCCTAACTGCCTTGCCCGTCTCATCCGGTAGTACACATGGCCCAGCTCCGCTTTTCAAAATCCCTTTCTAATGTGAAGAGTTTTCCTCGAAGCCCTGGCAAAGAATGCCAATTCTTTAGAGTAGTCGCCGACTACTCTATATATATACGATCGTCAACGTGTGCCACTTGAATAAACAGGGACGCTCCTTGGCGTTTTTCTGCGAAAGCGGTAGGCATAACTTCCATCACAATAATATCATAAGCAAATACATGATCATATAACGGCAATCCACAGATGTGGATTGATCTATTAGATGCTGTGTGAAAACAAGTACGGGTTCAAGGGTGGACAACGGCTAGTCTACATAACGTAAAAAAAGAAGTATGCCAAGTGTATATACATCCCCGTAATAGTTTAGTGAATAACGTATTTGTTCACAGTATTTGCATCCTAGGGATGTGTTGTGGTCTAGGTTTGGACTTTGGTATATACAGACAGACAGACAGACAGACTTCGCTTCATGCTGGAAGCCAGCGGTCTGATGAGGTTCTTAACGGCGATACCGGACGTAAAAGCTCGAGATATATATAGGCTAGTATAATAAAAAAAAAAGTCAGATATTACTATTCATTTGGACTTTTATGGCTGGAAAATGCATTCTATTTCGCAACTTCCCAGCTCATTTTTGCAAAATTCGGTTTAATCATTCACTTCCAACAATCTGAGTTTAGCCATCGACAGATTTATAATTGAATCACTACACCGATAAGCTAAATGGCGGTGCCACTGCGACTTCACTTCCATTGAGTTTAAAACAACTAGGTGTAATTTCTGTTCACAAAAAAAATACAATAGATCGTTTACTACTTTGCATATGCCCTATTAACAAGAACACTCCATTGTATCGCATGGCGGTTCGCCGTCTAATGTAATGACAACGTCAATAGTAAAGCGTTCAGGGTTGTTCTGTTCCAATGCTACCTAGCTTTGTTCTCATCAGACGATCACCTGCGAGCTTTATGAAATGTCTATAATTAAAAAAAAAAAAAAAAATGGCATATCATCTTTCCGATGTTTACTCTTGTTTTATATTCAGAGTAGAACCGCGAACGGGACGCACAATAAACAAGCATCGTACCTGGCTGCCTTCAGTCGTTTTTCAATTTTCGGCCGTCAGGTCGACAGAGGGATCTCCGTAAGCATAATCTGCAGGATGTTTTCTACGGACGAGACTCACAAAGCTAGCAAGTCAATGAGTATATGCGATGACTGGCCAAAAAGTCATTTCTTGGCAATTTCTAGTGAATTCTATCAGCACACACAGTGGTGACATTGAGCAGGCATTGTTGGTTACCGGTGGGGAAAGAAACGACGACTGTCCCGAGAAATGTTAACAGCAACAGAATAAAGCTATTTTACTCGCCTCAGACATATACACCCAATGCCCTTCAACCAAGTTCACAGAAGGCACGTGCGACACCAACAGGTGAACAAGCTGTAATATGGGATAGAAGGCTCTTTTGAATAATGCGTTTTCTCAAACAAGTTTGAGAGTTTATATAGACATGGGCATTTTCACATCGATGTCCAGCCTGGTTGCTCGGAGGATCTAATCTTTGCATGAACTTCCGAAAGCTAGAGTGAATTTCATTCTTAGATAACGAACTAACCGTATCAAACGACGGTTCAATTACAATACGAGGACGGGTAACGATGATCAAAACCCGGTAATGGAGTATTTAAGTCAGTTCAATCGATCATTTGAAGATAAGGTCGTACACTATGCAATTGAATTTCTGAAGCAGACTAAATTGTAGCAAGAAAGTGTAGTTACTGGACCACTGACATAAAAGAATGCGAAATCTATAACCAAATGACCGGCACGGATTAAAGATGGAAGCGCGAGGTGGTATTAGGGTGGCTGTACCGAGCATACAGACCAAGCAAACCTGAACCCATTCTAGGTACGATTAACGAAATAACATAACGGTACTTTTTAGCTGCATACTAACCGGTTTTAGATTGAATCTTACAAAAAAGAAAAGTTATCTTTGGTCTTTCAGCACTGAATGATTTCTATTTCTGTATAAGGAATACGACTTTAGAATTAGTCAACTTCTCGGCGCTCTCAACGTAGTACCAAAACATAATTAATCAGACCTGATTACGTATCTCGGACAACTGCAAACTCAATAAAGTTTGTCTTCATAGAAAAGCAGAATGCTTCAAGTTCATTTTGTTGAAAAGGCTATCTAGCCGACCTGTCGGCAGCTCGACAAGCAACACGCATGTGAATGAATGTGAAATAGTGTCATAAATCAATTATTTTTGGCAATTTGCCGGCTCTCGTAGCTTCTCTTTGGCCGTCGGACATAGGCAAGTTGTATCTGTCAATGCAAACGGAGTGCACAGCCAACCGCTGTCTCATCTCCAACTCATCTGTCGGCGACTGGCAGGGCAAGCTTTCACATTCTCTTATTTCTTTCGTCGTGGCCTTAGAACCAGCATCAGGCTCTAGGCAACAAAGGCCGAGGTGCAAAACTAGCCAGTGCGGGTTCCAGTAACACGGTCGACTATCTTGACAGGGCACGCTTCATGTCTGGATTGTGCACTAAAATTTGCAAACTGTTATATCGCATTTGTTTTACAAGTCCTCTATAATTAAAGTAATAAATATAATTATTTATAATATATGCCGGCACACTAAAGAATAACGCCTGGAGAATTATTGCAGCATTCAATTTGAACCTATATAAATATTGACACTATACTTTTTTTTTGCTAGAATCGCAAAAAGATCTTTTTCTATGTAGTGACCGAAACTGTTATTTGGATTTTCATCACAACTGTTTGGGCCTTCAAGAGGGTTAGCTTCTAACGCAGTCGATTTTTACGTTACACCAAGAAATAAAAATGAATATACCTAACACCAATCAAAACGGGCTGAATGGCAGTTTTGCAGGGCCCTAATATCGATAAGCACTCCTCAGCTTTTTTGGAAAAGTTGGTAATATAAAGTGATTTTGGCGTCAAGGAGTATCAGACACCTTTATAGAAACTTTTACAAGGTGTGCCAAGGACAGAACGTCACCAACGTATGTTGGTAAAAATTATACAACCTTTGGCTTTTAACCTTTTAACCTTTGGCAAAATAATACTCTCAGTATGAGAGAAAGATAAAGCTGATAGAAATAATATTTGTGATAATTTAAGTAGTTGTCAACATCATCGATGTCTGATCCACATTCATTCATTCATTCATTCAAGTTCAACTGAACCTGGAGATTACCAACTCGTATGAAAATATTCTTTATTTTCCAAAACAGACAGATTTCCAGAACCTCAAAATTAAAATAAACTATTAGAATAAATTCAGCTGTTAGAATAAATCTCGCCTCAATGTTACTTGAGATAATTGTATAGCGTTTTTCTTCTGCGGTTCTCATTCAATTGACGTGGAAACAATATAGCAGGTAGTCTACGAAAAAAGCAAAAATACCTTTATTGTATCTCCCTTATTCATATTATCATATATTATGTTTTATTATAGCCAATTATATGTAGGGTTTGTATTATACAACCTCTTTTCGTATATACATCGAAGGTGATCACCTGTCGAACCAGTTCCACCTCTACACAAGATTCGAATACTCAATTTCATTTAGGGATGGTTTCTGGCGTACCAATTGATCTCTTTTTGTCGATAGGTAATTCCGTGCAGCCATCCAAGAGCGTCCCTATCTCGTGTTCCAAACACTTTTTAGTAGTTGTCGAGGCCAGATCAAACGAAACTGAAGTTAAGACCTGCACACGTTTGTCCTGCCAGCAGGATCTTCGTTAGGCATCTTGGAGCTTTGTATCGTCGCTACTCCTTCAAGAAACAGCTGGACTAGCACTGAGGCAATCCGGCGCCGGGTGCTTTCTCTGTGTCTTTGATGCATTTTCCGCTACGAGGCTCGACGCAGCAGCAATATCCACTTGTTGGATGACACTGTAAAGGCATGTAATTTCCGTGTTGGTCACACTGCCAGATTTCCTGACCCAACAGAGCAGGCTGTTTCATATTAGCCCGCGTGCAGGGTCCAATGTGTACATCTGAATCTACCGGTTCCGACAAAAGTATAAAAGCCGCGAGCTGCGAAAAAAACAGTGCAATAAACACAAGTTAGTATATAAGAGTAGATCACTCTAATTTAGTAGACTACTTGAGAAATGGGCCGAAGAATAATTCCTCAGCTTACTTTTAGCGACAAGATGGTAATTGTTTTCACCATTTCCATACTATATTGTATTGAGAGAATTTTTCTTACACGAACAGTAAGTCATTAAGGTAAGGATTCATCAAGTATCTGCAATTTATACGTATGAAACAAAATAAACACACGTTCATTCACCGCACAGCTCTAATGCTCACGTACCATAAGAGCAATAACTGTTGCAGTCTTCATAGTGCAGTGGGCCTTAAGGCCTTAAAAACCTTTCTAGAACGAACTTCAAACTGAGCACAAGAGAATGAATCCGTTCTCGTATTCGGAAAGATCTTTCTGACCGCTGTTATTACAAGGCACACTTAAGGAAGAATAAAATTCTTTGTTAACCACAGTCTCATGTGTTTATATACAGACCCAACCAGGTTATGAAAGAAGGTGAGGAGGGGTCGACGCTGTCGTACCAATGTTACTACTTGCCAAAAGGCGGAGGCCAAAAAGACAACAGTAAAGTGCCTCAGTTTCGTCACATTATGTAAACTGTCGGTCTCGAGACCTGAACCAGGCAGCCCAAGAATATTAGTGATCGGTTAAAATGTTTAGGCCTTCAAGCTAGGCCTCAGAAACGGACAAAGCGCAAAGCAACACCTTGAAATTTTGTTTCCACTTGAGTGAAGAGAGGCCCGCTATGGCGTTGGCCACCAAGTCGTACGAAACAGAAGCATAATATCACTCAATGAATGAACAGACATGAAGGCAATTTACAGGCATAAATGAATGCGTTATTAGTTAGCTGCACCATCCTTTATACTTGACCATTATACAAATGATCATAACTTCGTGAGTATGTGTTTTGTTTGAAACTTCACGTAGCAGCATATCCCCACTTATGGGAGAAAAGCTTTGCAGTGAGACATTCGCTTCGTACCTTGGACGCCATTTTTATGTTCAAGATGCCACCTTCTTTATTTCTCAGTGAGATAAATTTTCAAAGAAAAACTATTAAGTCTTTTGGTGGTGAAACAAACGAAATGAAGTGACTCCCAAAGCTTTACTCAATGAGATTTAAAGTTACGTCGAGTTAACAGAAGTGCCAACATTGTACAACAACCCTCGAAATGACTGTCGATCTCTGGACTACTGCAAGTTCAAACAAGCATGTGCCGTTGGTGAAATGAAATTGTTGGTTTTGTCCCTATTGGTTTATCCAAATTTTTGTCGTCGGATATTGGAAAAAAACCCGCTGCAAGTTCCAGTTTAGACAATAGTATTGTCAGGCAATTTTCACTAATACAGTCAACAATTAGAGACCATTACCCCCCTTTATGCTATCATGGGTACGGAAACCATTTGAAATGAAGCAATCCAAATGTCGCTATAGTGATTATATCATTCGATATGAGAGGGGTTAAGCAGTACAATTAAAAGCTTTTTTCCTACACCGACTAGGCTAAACGTCTGTTCATCGCTCGGCAAACCTTAGAGGTACGCAAATGATTGCAATAGTAGGAGAACTTATCAGTGCTAAATATTTACAACCAGGTAGTTTCTATAATATTGTGTTATATTGCCATGACGTAAATATACACTTAGAATTCAATAACTGTAATAATAACATTCAAATGGTGTTTTTGACGACTGTCAGAACAAGGTAGTTAAAGTTTCATGTCGTGAGTATTCGAATGACCGTCATAATTTTTACATTCCTGCAACATGATATATATATGCTGCATATATCTCCGGCTAATGGCTAGCTCGGAAGAAGCTCAGCATGTCGATGTTTCTAGGTTTTTAATGAATTCTTGACTTACTAGAATTTCATTTTCTTCGCAGGTAGCCGTTGTTAGTTCACCTATTCTCGGGGCGTCGCAGACAGATTGTGGCGTCCAGGTTGTCGTGTATAGATTGATGCTTGACGGTAGCGAGTCTTGGATTGTTCTATAGATTCTGCGTACGGCTTGACGATTCGTTCCATTTATCCCTAGTCAATACCATATATACAAATCATCGGTGCAAAAATAGATAGAACGAAATGGTGAAACTAAGAATAATAAGTTTGAAATGTCTAGCTTGTGTTATGTACACTATTATTGACTTCTACAAGGTTGGATAAGTACTTACTACCAAGTAATCTGATAAGCACTTGTCACAGAAGTAATTCCAGGCTGACGAAGGGTGCTGATCGTAAATTAAAATGGAGCACGGAATACTATCGATTCTACGTTGGTGTTTTTAGCCGATTTGGTTTTCCTTCCAGCTTAAGAAGTCTTCCCTTGGTGTTTATATCCAACAGAATATTATCATATGGTATCAGTAGCAGTTGTAGAATGACATCAGACGCATGCCATTGGAAACACTGTTTGGACTTGCGAACTCTAAAATTGCCAACAAAATTGCTGGTAAATTCAAACTACCTGTTCACATCTTACATCCCGAAGAGTTAGCAACTCTGTTTTTTAACCTCCATAAAAATAAGTACCACCCAGTTTAGTATATTGCATACGACGCGTTCAATGACAGGTCGTACCCATAGAAAAAAGCGACGAATTTACGACTGCGCTCGGTAGGCACACTTGTTATCACCGAATCTAAACAAGTTGCGCACACACATATAACATATTATCGAAGTTTGTGAGGGAACTTTGTATTAGTTCTGTAAGATATATAACTGCTAGTCAGTTACACTTTCGACAAAAAATACTATAATATCATACCCAGTAAAACGTTTGTAACACTGTATTGAAGGGATGTTTTCAAAGTACCGCTGTTATAAGAGTTCGATCCGATTTTTATCAATATAGTTCGTGCACATCCTACTATTTTCTTTGATGCAGGATGAAGACTGTCTGACTGTCAAAAGGCTTCCGAAGTAACGCGAAAATACCTCGTCATAAGTCAACATACGTTAACTTGCAAGGCTCATATTGTCATATTCATAAATACTGAAATAACAGATGTCATGAGAATGACTGTACCTTGCATAAATTCTAAGAGAACTCGACATTACTTTAAGCGCCTCTATTTTTTGTTCCGTCATTTGTTGCTCTAGTGTTTGGAGCATTGAGTCCACAATACCACTATTAGGCATTCCATCAAAAAGCTGGCACGATGACGAAAAAAAAGCTAATTATGCTCGGATTCGAACCTAGATAATCACGTGTCTTTCAAGTTTGGCAAGCATTTACAATATTCACAATGCCATCACCCGCAATATATATTGTTCTAACACTATTAAATATACCAGCAATTGTTGCAATTGACTTTTGCAGTAATCAGACAACTAACCTATGTAATCTGCACAAAAGTAAATCGTTACCTTGTTAACCCATCCGGCCAATCCAATTTTAACCGATACAAGAAAAAACTGTCAGCGCATACATACACGTAACGTTATTTTAGGTGAACTATATTGTCCTGCTTTTTATGTATCTCGCCATCATTGTGCAGTAATGATGCTCACAAAGCTCGCTCATAGCTCTCTCCATCATCATTGTCACACTGGAATGACAACAATCTTCTTCTTTAGACTCATCTATTCGTATTCTTTTTTAGAAGCGGGTCGGCAGCCACGAGGCAAGAATAAACGTCTATTAGCCGGCGCTTGCATAATCTCGAGACTGAAGAAGACGAGCTCTCTTAGACTACAGAGCAAACGCCTACCACCAGAAAGACAACAGACCGTTAACAACGGCAACACCAAATAGCGCGGTAAAATTGTTGTATACAATATGCACACTCGCGTTAAAGAACACCAACAAACTACTCTACAAGGCCGTTTTTATCTTCTGGCAAAATCTTTCAACACGGAGCTCGTATTACGATGACAGTGGGAGTCAAGAGAGCCACACGTCACGCAGCTTCTAACTGAATTATGATACATTTTAATTTAAATGTCAGTTAGTAAAGCAACATGGAATGCGAGGAACTAAAAATAAATTTGTTTAGATCAGATAAATCCCGCGTCAATTTGCGATGAAACCGTAGATTACTATAAATTAGGTAATGTGAGTTTTACAGAAGATGGCCAAACCGGAAAAGATAAAGCTGCCTATAAGGAAAATTTCTATCTGAGTACTTATCCGTAATTTGTAGTCAACTATGAGTAATACGAATTATAAATATAACATGTTCCGTTATATAATAATAATACAAATTTTATAGTACTTATGTGGCGTCGTTTTAGTCTCTTTTAGCCAATGGCTTGGCTTAATCGTCCAAGCCACTGCGTTAATGGCACCGATAACAGAATGAAAATGATACGCATACATCGAAAGTAGTCGTGTTTAAACTCAAAGATAGATTTCTTTAACACGTATGGACATAATTTTTGATCAGCCATTCTTGTACAACTCAATATTAATGAAGTTTTTGTATGAAATGGGGTCTATATAATAAATTGAAGCGATGGAATTTGATTTCTAAAAATGAAGACAAAAAGACTATCAATAGCTAGAACTTCTCTTTATTAATTACGTGTATATTATTTTGTTAGACAGACTTATATTCTCTACTTCTATGTTTAAATGACTTTGTAACGCATCTCCAAAAAGTATCCATTTGAACAATTATATAGGTATATTTGTATATCCAGTTTTATAATAATAACTGCGTATAATATATGATAATCATATTCGTATATTGAATACAGTGACGGAAAAAACGATAAGCGTAAAATATGGCGACTCCATTGCACTTCTGGCGCAGACGTCAAATGCGTACATAAACACTATTGTTTATATTGTATATGCCATCTAAAATCTCTAAACGACTGCTATATTTGTTAAAATTACATAGCGAATATTGGTTAAACATTTTAGCTTATCACATTCATCTAATCGAAATTCCTTCGACACAACCACCGATAACCCTGAGATAATTGCTATAGTTTTTGCGTGTCATCAGTTTTACACATAGCATACCTGTATAACTAATTCTAAGTGGACAACTTGCAAGATCTCAAACAATACTATTCGAAAGCAGAGTAGAGCGTGCAAAGAACTATGAACCAAAAACACGAATCGGATTAATACCCAACGTAGAATTGACAATCTTTTGATCATTGTTGCGTTACGTATACCAACATGACCATATCGCCAGGTTATGCAGAATAGTGAATACGTTTAGCATGTGCTGAAGCAATGGATCCTCCTTTAATCGGGGAAAAGCTGGCTGGAAAAGATCTCCAAGAAAAAGTATTACCTAATCTTAATGTAAACGCGGTGCTGTTCTATTGACGCCCTATTGATGATACCTCGATGTAAGCCTCTTAAGCCGACAAGAAGCTGGCACGGTATGCCTATAATTAATCTCAGTTGTTGGTTCGTAACGTGAACAGCATGCTCAGCCGAACGCACAATTCTCGCTATCAGATAGACAAAATTGGAGCGACGAAAATAAGATACTCTTTTTTTGCACTCACTTCTGTCGATGTCGGCTCTCATTACATTGTTCCTTGCTTTAAATTAGTTTCTATTTCAGCGTAGCTTCTTAGTCGATTACAGTCGGAGAAAGTTTTTTTGACTTCATTAAAAAACGATGCCAAATTATTTTTAGAGAGAAAGCTCGTCGACTTAGCATCTACGAAAGTTTTTGTGGCAAGTGAAGATGCACGTTCATGTATTTCTGTCAATTACAATAAGAATACGTGCGTTGACCAATGCCACGATCCCTGTAAGTTTCATAGATACTATAACAATAACCTGAAGAAATGAACCCTTGTACTTAAATTCAATAGGATGACGGTGAATACAGTTTTTAGCGATCTCGTAAGTTTAAGGCAACCAAATAATAAATGCAACCCAAGCAATCGTACCTAGCTAGCTTTTTATGCACAAATAATACAGTTTGGCTGAGATTACATAGAAATCCCAGTGCATTAAAAAAGAGGAAGGCTCTTAACTGCATCGTCTATAAAGTACATTGCCAAAGTATAATGTCTATAGGGTACAATAACTATATGATGGCTATGATATATATAATAACTATATGATTAGCTCTGCCGCAAGTCTACTTTTTTTTAAATGCGCGCCGAATTTAAGTGTATGAAGTGAACAGAAACATATAATAGAAAAACTGATGTTCCATACAAGCTCACGTTTCACAGAAGACATAAAAAACCTTTGGAACATTTTCTAGTATATGTATTTCTACTATCACAGTCATATGAAATATTGCAACGAAAGAATGCTGGTAAGACACTTGTAGTAACAGCTCATATGCTTTTGTTAATGACTCGTCGGGAGTCACGATAATTACACGAAGAGTGTCGCTGGTATGAAGTTTTTACTTTGAGTCGGTGCTGTTAACCGATATATTCAAGTGCCATAGCCATCCTTTAAGGGAACATGGTTTGTTTTTATGCTTGAGACGTCATCTGGCAAGGCCAGCTAATAAGCACCATTTCAATAGATTAGGATCCACACTAGATGTTCTCACACTAGATGTTAGAGTGCCTATTTGCATTTTGCATTAACTTAACTAAGTAATTACGTATTAATTTTCTGCGATCATGGATATCCTTGAACGTTTACTGCACAGCTTGTGTGACTTCCCATAACCAAAATTGTTTGGTAGGTGATTAGTCCGCGAGTTATTATCCCATATCATTTATTTGTATCGACTGTCTAAAAAGTATGACGTAGCAACCGAACTAAATTTGATCATCATATCCAAGTCGAAATGCACCCGAGTAAGACTAGATAGAAGTTTGTCCTTTTTTGCCCCTTTTACAATATCACCACAATAATAAGTTTAATTCAGTTCCTTCGTAATGTATACATAGATTAGCTTATATACGATATTTGAGATATATTTCGGCTTTCGTTAGTAGCATGTTATTGCCTAACACCAGCTATAAGCAACAATGAGGGTGTTCATAACATAATATTTACATATAAAAGTTTCGAACTTACGCGTTGTGTTGAAATGTTTTAAAATGTATTTAAATCGATATGCTTTTGAATACAAAATACGGAAAAAATGGTAGTGATCGATATCGCCCAACTAGGGCGTGTTCCAAGCCATATTTTCAAGAAATTAGTAGGATGCAACATGCTAGCATAAAAATTTCATAAAATGTATGGGCTACTTATTTCTAGATAAACGGTGCATTTTGAATTTTAAAGAACATGAGGTGTACGACATTCTGCATTCTGCTCGGGCTCTTTTTTGGCCGCGTTTGATCGTCGCAAGCAGCTCATTGATTAAGGTTTTCTGCGCTGTTTCTTCGCAGCAGTAGTGAAGCTTGTTTTAGATTGTTGGCGCAGGTTATGCTTGTGTTGGGTACCGCCCGCGGCTACTTGGACATTCTTGGGCAAAAGGGATCTACGCATATAGAGCGTCTTCGTGTTTACCACTTCACAGTCTATTTGCATTACGGCTACGCGGCCTGGCGGGATCTTCATTGTATCTGTAATTAAAATAAACAGAGTAATTAGCGGCAAACAATTAAAAAAAGACTTCTTTCTAGCAAACTAAAAAAATCGTCTTGGAAATGCGGGCTTCTTAAGACATGACTGCAGACAAGTATTCAAACGTGTATTAAAATCAAAAGTACTAACCATTTTTAGCTGAAGCTATCGCCGGCATTAGGAGCGCAATTTTGGGCCGAGCAGTAGAGTTAGCCTGACGAGCGCTGAGTAAAACCGTATCTGGTGGTCCTGAGAAAGCAAGCAGGTAGAAGGTATCGTTGCGCTTACGTACTTCATTTAAGAGAGCTCGTGAAGGCCATGAAGGAGGTAATGGGAGCTCTTTTGAAGCCACAGACGACCCGTCGGATGATGCACGGGGCCCTTCTTCAATTGTGCGTATGGGATCGGCATCGAGACCGCTGAAAAAATAGACGTAAAACATTGCAACAAATTACCGTAAAGTACCGTACCACTCGAAATTAAATAATATATCAGACTATATTATATAAACTTTAAAAAAGTTTATATTAAGTATTAATTAAATAAGTAAGTATTAAGTATTAAAAGTAATATTAACTATAATCATGTTTTCAAATGATACGTCTTAGCACCAACTACCGTGACCTGCATATAAACTAAATATTGGCACTACATACCCAAATAGCTATCTATAGCCTAGCAGTAGGTGAACAATTAGATTAATTTTTCACAGTTAAATGCTAAAGGTAATCGGCTCTAACAGCTGTCAAGCCAAGACATTGAACTCTTATACCGAGAGTAAATGCATCAATGAGGTTTGTGCATTTCGATTTGTGACTACGCATAGCACTGATCTTTAACCTATAATTTATGGAGCAAGTTAAAATCTTGGTCACACGAATGCAGCTATTTAATAAACAGCAGTCTAACTTCCTAATTCTCGTTCTAAAAGTCGTTCGCTTTTTCTATAGCAACGATTGATTTTTATCAGGTGAAAACCCTAAGTTCTTCCTACTATAGTCTCTTATTCTGGTACGTAATGCGTAACTTCCACCATGTTGTGTATGCGCCATTGAATCATACTATAAGCCAAGGGGAAGTCGCACCTGCACCCGATAAAAGGTGTCTGTGGCCGCTACCCCATAGACTAATGTTCAAAGACGCCTGTATTGAATACTGTAATGCAGAGAAGACCACCGCTATCGCAGCGCTCTGTGCGATTTTACCACCCCTACTTTTCCTTAAAAATGGTCTGCTATAGCCTATACAAAATATCTAACAGAGGTGAAAGTAAATATTAAATCAACCTATTATTTACCTTAGTAGGCTAGGCCAAAACGAAGTGGAACTACGTAGAAAAGGCGGGGATTGCAGGCCATCAGTAAACTGTGTGCCTTGAGGAATCCCAGATGCCAAAGCCCATGCTCGAGAAGCCCAGCGACTCAAATACTCTTGTACTCGAAGAGATTCCGTTGAATTCACCTACATTCATATATCCAGATTAGGTGGAACATCAGCAGAGACTTATCAGCTCAGGCATTGCAGTTACTAAGTCGAATTGTTACAGAATACTGTTAATGATTGGGTGCGCCAAAGTCTATGGAGAATTTGAAAAACGTGTCCACATTAAAAATATGCTGCACAGTTAAATCCATTCTTTACTGCAGTAGTTTGAAACTTTAATAAATACGAGACTTTTTTCAAGATGTTTAGAGATCTTTGACCTATCCAGTATTTTGAATTAAGCACACGTCAACACGCCGACCTATGGTATGCAAAAGCATGCGTGACGCATCTGTGTACATTAATGTATGTATTTTCGGGCCACATACAATTCGGGAGCGTTTCTAGCTTTACGGGATAGCGTAGCATTCATCTAAATGGGCCTATCGCTACGTGTTCTACGTACAATATATGCATTTACATAAAATACTTGAAATTATACATAAATGGACTACTAACCCATTGGCTGCCACAACCAGGTTTGCCTTTTGCCAAGCCATCTGCAAACGGCAATTCTTCAATCCCACGAGTCTCATTCATCCAAAGTAAATGTCGACTGTTCACAGAAATCTGAAATGAGAGTGGCACCTTCATTAGGGACACCTTTTATAGTTTGACTTGTAATCTATGTGTGGCCCTCACATAATTTTATTTGGCATATTTTGATGTTAATATGAAAAAAAATGTCTACGTATGAACATACCGGATGCCTTGTTTCACCCACAGCAGCTGCAACCGCCGTCTGAACTGGTGAAATGCGCTCGTCGAGAGGATCCGTGATATGGCCTTTAAGGACAAGAGACTGGCTTGTTTCACGAGGCGAACCTAATCCTAAGTTAAATATAACCACAAGACCAAGCACACATAACACAGCTCCTTTCGATGTCGCAGCACGCAATCGACCTTCCAGCTCTGCTATCTGTTACCAATACAAATGTAAAATATATTTTAGATTTCGACTAGCCTCTATTTTCACACCGAGGAGATGGGGCATTTTCTATAACATTCCGAACAGCACCGTGTATTAAACTTTCAAACTTGCTAAAGACCTTTTTACTTACGCATTTATCAGAGCTTGAGAATAATTATACATAGATCGTGGAAATACTGATTTTCCAGGGCTCTGCTCCACTATATAGTCCGAACGACTTCTCTTTGATACCGTAAAACAGAATAATTTAAATAAAAATGAAATAAAAAAAATGAATACATTTTTTTTTGACTTACTTTTAGTTTGAGATTTGCATTTTCATCTTTCAGGTGTATATTTTCAGACCGAAGAGATACAACTTCATCTTGAAGTAGCTGGGTTTGCTAAATTCAAAATGGATTTGTAACAATAATTTAGGAAATGGGCCTTTGCAGTAATAGCATGAAAGAACTCATAATAATAACACCTGCTTAAGATAGTTGTGCTTCTCGAATTCTCGGTTGAGAATAACGTTCATTGCCGGAATTAAGACTTCATAATTGCTTTAATCCACATGGGTTAATCATAAATAAAAAAAAAAAGTTGTAAAAACAATTAAACAAATAAAACAAGGAAACCTTCAAATATTACGATCTAACTACGTGTGCATTAGAATTATGGACCTCTTTTCGTCTTTGACGTGATTGAAGGGCACTCTCTCGGTTGCGAATCATCCGCTGACGCTTTCTTGCAAGGGCGTCCTCCATTGATATTGTTCCTGGAGGCATCCGGAGCAATGAACGCTGTTGTGGAGGGGTTGGAGCCCGAGTGGCCTGTTTTATATTTGCCTGCGTAGAACAAAATGAACAATAACGTATTAATGCTTGCCATCCTACGTCATTGAATGTTGTTTGTCCATTAAATAATGTACGTATTGCAGTTTAGGGCTTCCGATTTCAGGAATCAGGTAACGCGGCTACTCTACGTGTTACCTAATGCAGATATGTGTCTATAAACATACCGGACGCATTTCTTTATTTTGCTGTTGCAAAGATGCAAAAGGCATAGCGGTAGTAGCGGTCATCACAGGAATCATCGTACTCTGAGGTCCGACAGGAATGAACATTGTTGGATTGGTCGTGACCAGTCCAACCTGTGCAGTGTCAGCTGCTTGTAATAAAGTTGCTGGTAATTGACAAGTTACCTGAAAAAGTCCAGAGCAGAAGAAACTGATAAGGAAGTATGTATTATGGGAAACACGTATTGATTATGCATCATAGCAATGTTATGCCACTGCTTCTATAGGTTATATATATATATATAGGTTATATATATATATATATATATACTATATGGTACTAAAAAAATGTAATCCAACCACAAAGCGCTATTGCGTAGAACATAATTCAACTATACTTAGGAAAACACCATGTCTTGTTGCCGGTAGCTTTACTGCAAAATTTAGCAATTGGTCAAACCGATCAGGGTAGGAGCTAATATTAACTTTTTCGTTAGGATACCAAATGGATTTTCTCTTGTTAACTTTAGCCATGGTTTGAATGTTTCTGTTTTCTCATATTAAACTCATGATAATATACTTACTTGTTGTTGATGCTGTCCTGTGCGCAGAACATTTTGTTGTTGCACAAGGGGCACTTGCACAATCTGATGACTAAAATGAATTGCTGGCTGCTGTTGGGACGCATTCTGTTGTTGTGGCTGTTGTTGAAAACTGCCAGTGGTAGTGGAACTCAAATGGGATGCCATACTACTTCCGTTAATATCATGCTGAGGACAACTCTGAAGCAAGTCCCTCATAATGTCATCATCGTGACTTCCATCGGACACGCTATCAACGGACGTCCGCACATATTCCAATGACTGTGTACTACTGGAACCCACACGTAGATACGGTCTTTGTCCCGCTTTATGGCAATATGATGTAGCAATTGAGCTGAGTTCAGTATTTTCACCGCCTTCGGCCCATTCACCTCCTGAGAGACCTGAATCGCTGCTGCTACTCGTAAGTTGATCTGGGGAACAACTGCCATCGTGATGGTCCCCGTTCGTCAGCATGTCACTTCCAAATTTATTGTTAGCAACAACAGGTGTAGACACTTGAATGATATCCTTTTTTTCAATCCTCAACGCATCTTCAGAAGAGTCAGTTTTATGTTGTTCAACGAGATTGCTGTTGTCGTTCGTGGATACACCGAACTAAAAGTGAAAATAAGATATTCAAATTGAGTGTAAAAAAGATCGCAAATTAATATATGGGCCATGGTGCGTAGCATGAAATCGTTCATTGCTCCGAATCCGTGTACAAGTATTAGCAGGAAACTAATTTCATCGGAATACTGGCATGGTAGAACACTCAGAGTTTACGAAATCGCTTGAACTTCAGCAGGGCTGGAAATAGTCTTACCCTTGTATATGTTCCCTTGTTGACTACAGCCTGTTGTCTGATCAGTAGTCTCCTCGGAACCTTTAACTCTGACAAAGACGTGTACTTTCTATTCAGACTTGTGGCATTCGAGCGACATAGGCTACAAGCAGAAGTGATGGCCACAAACAAGTATTACAACAAAAAGCATTAAATATTTCATACAAATAATATAGAGTTCAGTGAATACTTGAATGCATTGGCTACCTAAAGCTTGAACAAGAATGGCTATTCATTTACAATCTTTCAGAAGGCTAATTGGGGAAAGACCTAGCGTCAAGAGGTATTTCTATAGAAAGCCTGTTGCCGTTAATTGGCTTGAACTTGGTCTTTTAGATTTATGGGCAACTATTGGCTGAAGAAGGTAATAGAGATACAAACTAGTAACATTCGGTTCATACACAATAGATAAATGCGAGGCAGGCCATACAATCATTTAAATCATTAAATGTTTTCGTGCACTACAGCAATTTCGGTTTTCCTAGACACCCTACTTTATAACAACAATCATTTTACGGTACATAAGAGTACGTACAGATTAGAGATTTTCGCGCGATCTGACATTACAATGGATTCTGAATGGTGGATTTTCGGCCCTGTTATAAGCTGATCTGCCAAAGACAAGTTGTTATTTATAGTTGAGAAAACTAGGTCTCTATCTTCCTCCGTAAGCGGATTCCATTTTCCGTCATTCTCATTGATGCTGATATCATTAGCATCCCGTAGCTCAAGATCATCAAGTCGTTCATCCTGAGACTCGCACGAAGCGCATCGGCGATCACAACGAATGCCCAATATGGCAGCACATCGACTTCGAGGTTCGCCATCGTCGACGACATCTGAGACAATAATAGATTACTCTGTTAAAAAATGTTGATTTATTAAATAAAAAGGAGTTTGCGAATTATTATTCAATTAATATTAATGTCAGTATATTTTTAAATAAAGCTTTCCGAACCAGCGTTATGATTCTTGTATAGCAATAATGTCACACCTCTTGAAACCTTTGATTATTGCTTATCATCACAAAAAGTAATAGGACCAAATGCACTTTTCGTAGCGAAGTAATATTACTGTATCTCTCTGTATACTGTTTCGGTATGCAGGGCTTATGGCATAGCAGTATAAAGGGTACTGGTCCAATAACACATATATAGATATGTACTATAAACTTTCCATAAGTCCATTAATTTTACGGGCAGTTGAGAACGCCACTGAGCATCGTTTAGAACCTACGGCAATACGAAATTAAGCAATACTATCAATCAATCAAGATACATTCAACAATCGCTTTGCACCAAAAGATACGGCTTAACGACAAATCCAAATTCTGTGGCCGGCTAATCTAGAATTTCCAGTACTTCTTATACCTGTCATTTCCCCACCAGAAATATACGAGCTTAGTCAAACAGTATAGATAGTCGAACATATACCGAATAATTTGCTTTCGATATACCTTGTTTGCCGTGACATGCTTGCCGTAACGTATAACCCAGATATAACTAGATAATAAATTGAATAGTATTAAAGTTCTAGGCGATTAAAGTGCGCCACGAAGAGGCTGTTGTGAATGTGTGCTTCAAAAAAGCTTCTTCGCATATCCAAATCGAACACAGAATCTTGCTGGTTATTTCCCTGATCTATCTCTATCTATACTTATTTGTTAATTACTTACTCTATCATACTTAATTGTTTTTCAGACATTTAAATGTTTTATTTAATTAATTCAAATAAGTATCATAAGCAATTTAAAGGTGACTTGCCATACCATTATAGCTAAATTAGTTTATTACAGGACTGCGTCAATTACAAGACCATCTGATTTTTTGAGCACTTTCAAACAATTGCTGTTATGAAGGTTTGCCAAAGAGTTGCTTTTGAATCTATAGAATAGAAGGAACCAGTAACTACCAGTATGTTACTTAATAAATATGGTGGAAGCAACACATCGACCTTAGAGTTACCTTGAATTTATTAGTTTACAATTACCAGCTTGATTATTAAATTCGTCGGCCAGCTTTTTATTGCAAATCAACGTTAATTTAAGCCTATAAGCATAATGCAAATACGTGTTGAAGCAAATCATTTAACGATATGTCCTTGATACCATGTTTGGTGATAAATATGCTTCTCATTTTTTACCGGACAAAAGGCTGTCAGCACTGACACTCCCAAGAAGAGCCCACTGCTCACTTTGAATACACTGTTTTACGAGTAAATGATAAAATATATTTACCACTTTTAAATAAGATTATGCTTTGAGCTAGGATTGATAATTTCTACTACGGTTAAAGATATTAAATAAAAATAGCATTGATGCCGGATTAGGCACAGAGGAAAGTGTGAATTTAATGAATACTACTGCGGCAATTAGATACGCTAGCTTTGTTAGCTAGCTAGCAACTAGCTAGATACTTTACTGCCAGTATATGGTTTTTGAGATGACTGATTAAAACGCTGCATGTTAAATAAAGAACGATTAGTATTTCTCATAAGGCTACCCCTTAATCAATGATTCTGAGACTTTCTCGTGTGACTAAGTCCTGCAATACATCGTAATCACGAAATCCGTCGACCGGTAACTTTCTATTTAGAGTGTGTCTCTTAGAGAAGTAACATGCAAATGCTCACTAGCTCCCATTGATTTTTATTGCACATGATCTTTTACAGGAACTTATTAAAAATTAATTCTACTAAATGAAGTGAAAAAGCGCGAGATGTTTAAAACGCCCATATACTACATCGACGACATGTTATGACACGTTCCCTTTAATAAACACTAATAATCATTGCTCTTCGTTCTACAGACAAAAAGTAAGTATGTTTCACAAACGGAATAAACCTCCAATAGGACAAAAGGCCAAACTAGGGCAATTTTTGATTATTGAGCACATACTTCATAAGAAACAGCTTCTCCTATGACTGAATATACTTTTAAAAGAAAATACACTGATAAAAAACTGTAGAACTAGCGGGATTCTCGTTGACGATGGTAGAGCATGCATGCATTTCAATACATTATTCGTCTCAGTAGGCTAGGAACCGTATGTTGCTTTGCATGTTCATTTCGCATTTAAGTTGGAGTCCAAGCGTTATTCTAAAGAATACGGGATTATTAATTTGGAATAAAAACACCAGAAACTGCAAAATAAGCAATTTCTGTAACTTATTAGGTAGCTTTAATTAACCGTAGTTCACCATTTGCACTATAGTTCAAGTGTGCAATGAGCTTTTGCCGAATTTATTAGGGGAATCTAAACATGCTCTTGTTACTATAAACAAGAGGATAAGATATTATGGGTTTGCAATGAATCCGTGCGATAAGTATGAACTTGGGCAAAAAATATTTATTTTTGTAAATTCTCCGCATTTTCGAATTTATTGTTGAGATAACGCTTTATAGAATCCGCTATATACCATTGTTTTTTTATTATCTCTATCCCATTGACACCAACTTTAGCCCGTTTCTGCCTTTTCTTTGTACGTTCCATATGCATAGTGCTGCCCGTGAAGGTGGAATACCTGTTTCGAACACCTGTTATTACTGTACAGGTCTTTTCATATAATAGTAATAAGTAAAAATGCCGGAATTGTATCCGTAGCTAAATGTACTATGCTTGTATTATATTGAGTAATTTTGATTGGGCGTGTTCGTATACGCAAACCGCACCGAAACGCAGATCCTCAGGTGAAAGCAGGTTATTCTCTAAAAAATCATCTTGTCCACTGAAGTGTTCCATGGCTTTCCGTCTTCTTCTTCTTATATTATTCTGCGTCACTTTACAATAGATAACCCCAAGCACTAACGCTTTATAACATGGTTACACAACCTCTCGTTGACGTTCGACAACTCATGACATATAGAACGAAATAAGCAAACCGCAATCCTGTGAATCACACTATCCGCTATGACTTCGGTACACAGCTCTGCCGTCCGTGAACGGTGCCATAACCTGTTACCCCACTAGTACTCAACACCCGACAAGTCGAACACCGAGTTACACTTGTAAAAAAAGGTATATTACAGTCAGATAGCTCAGTCGGCGAGTCGGTTCGATGAGTGACGCGAAAAACAAATATCGAGGTGGCAAAACATCAACAACGCAGCAGACGACTCTGAAGGCGGTACTTTTTAAACGGCTTTACGCTTGGCTCGCCCGCGCAGAGCGGCTAAAGCTGGATAAACTTCAGATCGTAGAAGATCGAATCGAAACGAATCTCTTTTAAAATATTGAGGTATCGCTGTTCAAATAGAAATGTAAGAAGCAGCCGATTGTAATGTTACGTTTCATTATTAGTCCACATAAATCTAAACAAGAAGTAGGTTAATTTCTTCAATGATTGCAACTGAGCTGCGTTAAAGCGCGTTTTTAGAGGACATAACGTAAATTAGTTACAAAATAATTTATTAACGGGCCGTCTATGTCAGAATAATTCCTGCTGGCTGTAAATATATATACGTTTGGACCAGATCTTTGAGTAGACATTTTTAAAAATGCCTCTATTGAATCTTCGTGAAATTCAAAGTAGGTGCAGCATTTGGCTTTTTTGTGTGGTATTGAATTGATGTACTTATTCTTGCTTATTGGACACAACTTTCCCGTCACAAAAAAGATTTTGCTTTATATTTTACTTACTGTTACTTTTTTTTATTTCCGACCAAACCACTGATACGTTGCGCGTTCTTCACTCATATATTTAAAGTAAATTAGCTTCTTTTAATTCATGCATGTTTATCCATGTCCACACTACCTGTGTAATACTCATGCAGTGTTACAGAGTTGTACCAAGGATATGTCAACATTTTTTATGATATACTAAATCCATAATAAAATTTATGATAAACTGCAATATAAGCATTGATCATTTTCTACAGAATTGATAAAACTGGCAATTTAGGAAAATTGGTCTTTTTTTTTCTTTGCGTAACAAGACTGAGTTGTTAATATCTAAAGAATTGTGTTTTTGAGTATTTCACGTCCTGTACTAAAGCCGTGGCAATTCTCATTTCTTTATGTTTCAAAAAATGCTGAGGTAACGTCTGAAAGAGTAAATTAACTTTAACTGATATATAATCATAGTCCATTATTAGTATAGCATGTGCACGGTAGTCTTTCCAGCTTGAAAATAGTGAAGAGAACGCTACCAGGTTTTTCGACCTCCATATTTTCAAGCTTCCAAAAAAAAACAGCGCTAGAGGCTAGGCCGGACGCAATGAATAAAATTTTTAAATTTGTGACCTCGTACCTCTTCGCTAAGGATGCTAACACTATTTGAAAAATGACTAAAATTACTTATGAGTCAGTTTGGTATGAACATCAAAATATTCGAGTGATAATCGAACAGACAATTGTTTGGATACGTAATATTTTCAATACGCCTGTATACCCAGTAAACGGCTATTCGTATGGAACGTAAATGATGTAAAAATCTGTGCATAGACATGCAGTTAATGGGAAAGTGAAACGAAAAAAAAACCACCAAGATCAGTCCCATGAAAAACGAATCGTATTGCTTCATTGGTTAATTGAAGTATGCTATCATACGGATTAACGTTGAGCTATATGGAAAATAAAGGAAAACGGACCTTTGTAAATTGAAATGGCAAAAGTAATAACGAGCGCATGCAGCAGTACAAGTAATGTAAGTATAACATTCGAATAACGTGCTTTAGTTAATTTAAACTTAATTGCTCGTTAAACACCGGGATGTTAGTTAGCTCATTACGTACCGCTCATGCGTTACGAAGTCGAGAAACGATATTAGTGAACACTGTAATTATTCTATCTAGTCAATTGATGAGGTAATTAAATTAAATAGAAAAAATATATGGTACATGCAACAATTTCACTGCATTAGTGAAAAATTATTTAAATTAGAAACAAAATAAATTTAATAAATACCCAAGAAGTTCTAAATTCAGGCCTCAAATGACCTTTAACCGTTATGGTAGGTAGAGCAGTTTGTGTGATTAAGGTGGCATTGTTGTAATGTATGTCTATTAACAGAAATTGTCAAGTCGGATCGAAATTGCCAGAATAAATCGGTATTAGTTAGTTTTACTACGCTCAAGCAAAGATAACTTTAAACAACAACATATTACTGGCTAATAAATCAGCATAAGACGTTTAAACTTGTAATAGATGACAATTCTAAAATTCGCGGCTTTTACGGAGACATAAGAGACCAATGCAGAAAACTTTCAAAATAGTTTTCCGAAAAGCCTTTACTTGTGGTGATGTATGTTCCATGAAAAGTCAGTTAATATAAATAGTTGTTCGAAGGTTTATCGCTAACTGACAGGCTTCAATCTACAGCGGAAGAGAGGTCGCCAGATCAATCGATTTACGGACGAGGTACTAAAGCAATCATTTATAGCCGACACTGACAGAATTCACTCATTTTCGATCTCAAATCAATCTTTCAGCGATTAGGCTGCGTCTTATAGTTAGATGGATGCTGCGGAATACCTAATGCACCACAATTGCAAAATCTACGGTTGGACAAACCGAAACGAATGGGTCTCATTTGGGCAACCTGTGAAATGGGTAACGATTGGCTTTTTCTTTCTCGAGGCGAATCTTCTATTTGTCAATACCAAAAGCATTTCAGCTTCGCTAATAATAGTGAGCGACTGTAAACGATATTTTAGCAAATAGTAAGACAAATAAAACGTTTTAATAATAGTAAAGTACAGAAAGGGACAATCATATGCAATGCTATAGAACTTTTAGGTTACACATAATCAATCCTCGGCACAAATTATCATTAGCCGGGATAACGAATTTAATATTAAAAACAATTTTATCAAATCAAAAATAAAATGAGGGCAACAGTCCATACAAATACTGAAAAAATAAGTAGCTCGCAAAAGCAAAACAGTACAATGAACAGTTCGACTCGACGGGGGAGAGGCAGGGGTAGTTTTAATTGAATACAATAGTAAATATTCTCATTATAGCCGAAATGGTTAGCGGCTTCTGGAATAGTGATACAGAAGATAACGATGTCGATGACTATTTTGTGATTGATTATCTCTAAGACGTTTCGGCTAGAAAATCGCCGTCCCGTAATATGCCCTACTATAGCATTAATAATATAAATGAGTTACAAACTGTTGTTTAAGTATGGAGTAGGTATATAATGCATGTTAGTGTTGATAATAAACCAGTAACAAACGTTACAGTCTAGCGAAAGAGCAGACGATCAATTTTCGACACTGTTTTCCTCAAGTTTTTCATCAGTTTCGCGATGAGCATTGTTACGTTCGTTCGCATCAACGGACACGATATCGGCAATACTTTCTCACTGTGTTGGGACGACGATTGCAGCTGGCCGGCCGTGTTCTACGGATCACACCCACTTAAATTCAGTGACAGTCAGAAATGATGATAGTGGAAATCGCATCATCTCAGCATATTAAAATCAGCTGTGTATAATCCCTTAAATTTGCCCTGTCTTCAAATGTTTTTTATAGCCGTTGAGAATTTTATTCCTCAAAATGGCGACAGTTTAGACGTTGTTTAACGACCTTAAGGGGCTCAATTCGATACAAACGAAAACACTGACCGAGGCAGAATTGGTTGACATGATACAGTAGCTTGCCAATACTGAAGACCGAAGTGAACCACCAGAGCAGAGACCAGCGACCAAAGACAAACATGAAAACAATCGTTTTTAAATTTAAAAAAAAAGATCCCAGAAATCAAATCGGGAATATCTGATGGATCCCAAAGAGCAGTGCGTTTATTAACGAGTGAAAAATTTGCTGAATACTTTTTGGGTATACTTTGGCCACTCTATTGACTAGTGGAGCTTTATCTTCTTGATGTAGAAACGCCGCTGATAAAGGTAAAATTGCTTAGACTTATTCCCTATCATTCTTCTAGCATAAAAACGGATGGCATCCGTTTTTATGCTAGAAGAATGTTATGCTAAAAAACTGTTTTTAATTAATTACTTTTAAGAAGATATTAGCAGACTCGATCACGATGCATAGGATTGCGCTGAAAATTACTCCCGTATTTGTCCGTCTGTTGCTCATCTTATTGTTGGACGACATAACGAGCACGTACGAGACGTAGTAATCTTTCTAATTTTCTAGCAATGCTGAACTTCATGGAAAAAACAATTGCATGGAAAGCAGCAATGAAACGGTCCTTAAATCGTTTTATCAGAAAAGGCCACCATTTTTTATCGAAAGTTTTATTACTGTCGTTAATATCGGCACTCATGCTTTTCGCGCAAATCTGAACATACCTCATGACTCAGAAGTAGTAATAAAAGATAGAACAACGCATATAAACACTCAATGGGTTTACTTGCATATTCGCCATTTCAACGCTGTCGATATTTAAAAGTTTAGAAATAAAAGCCAACGACGTTCATAGCTTCATATATGACTTGGATCTTAACATCTGTTTCATGGAGAGAAATAGGGCTTACAATTTAGCGGAAATTATTCCAACATTCATCTAGGTATCGGCTGTGTGAATCATCAACCGTTTATGTTATATACACCAATCTGCTATTTTATCATTTGGCAACAGACATCATCGTACAACCCAAAACTTAGATAAATGTTTGTGCGACTGCCGCAGAGTTGCAGACTCATATTTTTACGCCAATCTGAGTGTCACATCTTTCCAATATTCTATATAAGCCAGGGCGGTTTTCTCTCTTTCTACTTATTTACTGTTTCATTATCTGTATATTCTGCTCGAAAGTGTTCTCTGCTTTCTTCAAGTCTATTGTAATCTCAGTGTGCAGTGAATGGAAGCTGAAGTTCGGGCTGCAAAAATTCAGACTCCAGATGGAAAATAATTGCGTTTTCAATATCTACTCTGTTTCGCCTTCTGCCGAAATTGGCCTATTTATTTGTGCCGTGGCCAACTAACAGAACCTCTAGAAGGGGTTTACTAGGTTCAAGATTGACTTATCTATTTGAGCTCAATGGGTAGTTTCAATGGCTAGCAATATAATAAAAATAATAATATATAATAAAGTCCTCAAGTGTAACCTGCAAAAAGGTGCAAACATTGGACGTTCGTTAAACAGCGTACATATTTATCAAAAATTAGGAGTCTGGGATGCCCATGAATCGCGTGAAGTGCACAAAACAACACGACTTTTTTGGACGCTCAATATTTGGCCTGGCCCAGGGCAGCACACGGCTTCAATACTAAATTTTACGCAGATTTGTGACAGGTGAGAAGTGGTGTCTTCGGATCGATATGAAACAGATAACGACTTTTAGCTTTCATAGTTCTAGAAGATACACCTAAGCCCAGAGTTAAGCTAGATCTTCGTGCGGAAAAGACCATAGTTTATGTTTGGTGGGTTTAGAGAGGTCACACCTCCGACTGCTGCTGAATATTAATGACCGTACATTTGACTGTGAAAAGCGTTTCAGAAAATAGATGGTTAGACGATTTTATCATCATCATCATACCTGAACATTTCTGGAGATGGAATAAGTATATTGAATGTGAGATAGCGAAAGGCGAGGACTAATACATACATTCATTTATTAATAGAAACGCTGCGTTTCTGAAGTAAAAAAAGGCTTATATATATATATATATATATATATATATATATATATACAACCAGCGTTGTCCATTGCGCGCGTATTTGTGCGGTAAACTTTTAATCAAAGAGCATACGGGCACATCTTTACAGGCTAAAAACTTCCAATGACACAATAATTTAATAGACAATTGGCGATTTCTAGTAGACGTGATTAAAGTCGAAACGTTAGTTTTACGGGGCGTGTTTGACATTACACACAAGCTGCCGCTCACAAGAATACCGTTCCTTGTAACAAACACACCCTGTGTAGCGATACGATATTAGACAGCCCTGCTAATAACAAAGTGGGGCTCCTTTCGTACATGCTGTATGAGACAGGCACCGTTATTAGTGCAAGACAGGGTCTAAAGTTTACCAGGAAGCATCTACGGTGTTTTTGTACCCTACTAGGACCTACTGTGCGCATTGTTAACGTTGCTCCCTGTGTGATATTTAGGTACACTGGACATTTTCGCTATGCATACGCAAGATATGAGCCTTAAAGACGCTCAGCTTAACTATTCATTCATTCAGCCAGCTCATAACGTCAAATCATTAAAAAAAAAAGGCCACATGTACAAAAAGCGTCAACTTACTGCAGAACATTACCGTAATAGGTTGAAATCAGTTTTATCCACCGAAACGCGAACGCGACATTATGATTATGATAATAATAATTGGCTATTTACAAAATTTAAGTTGCCGAACTTAATTAAGCGACATGTAAAGTTTACCCCTAAAAATTACCTCTGTATGCTCGGCTTGCCTATTCTATTAACGTAGTACACAGAGATTAATGAATTGAATTTAGTGCTTTTTTTTTAGTGGCCTTTCACATGGTACGAGAAAGATAACAACACAAGAATTGCTACAGGAGGTACCGCGGAAGATTCGGTAGCGCGCATCATAGTTAGCTAAACACATATATAATCAAATCATAGGTGAGCCAGTACGGTCTTATAGAGTAGTGCATCCATTAAAGGCAGCCTTGCTCGTTTATGATCAATCAATCACGCCAAGAATTTAGCAAACACGGACAGATATAGTTCAGGTGTCCTATTGTAAATAGCGCGTTTGTTTGACTCCGATAGACCCAAACTGCGTATTAGCGAAACACAGAAGTATTGTTTTTTATGCGGATTATTGACACTCATCTGGAAGAAAAAACATATATGACGTATTTACCAATACGGCAAAAAGCTCCTACGTGTCTGACCTATGCGTAGAGTTTCTTTAAAAAAAAACATCGTTTACACCGTTTTGGCAAGCAGGCAGTAGCTAGTAGTTTTGGCTAATGGTAATATATAAATAGCTATAGGGTTGATAACTGTTTAGTTGTTTTGGCGTTAGAAGTTTATAGCGCAATACGGCCTAAGGCCGGTAGGCATGCCTGTCCGTTTTAATTGAGAATAAGTCAGCAGTGATACTCAGCCGCCCAAAGTGCATATAAAGTTTACGAGTGAGTCTGTTTCCTCCGAGAGGCCGCTATATAACTACATGCAAAAAGACTGAAGGGGAGAAACCGAAAGTGGCTAGACAAAATCATGCATCATATCGGCCAGTGAACTTGTCATATCTATTTGTCAGTCATTGGACGATAAACAAGCGACCCCGACAAATCTCCGCTGCATTTTGCCGGTTTGCTGGATAGACAGGCCGATAGTCTACACGGTTAAGGCTTTCGACATTTTTATCCTGCTAGAATTTGTCCTTGAGTCTGTGCTTGTTGTTGTTTTACTTCGGTAATAAGTTATACGTTGTCATGTTATTTGCCGACGATAGTGGTATCGGCAGTAGTGACAATGTATCTGGGACCCTCGCTACATGAGTTATTGCTAACGTCTTCGAGCATTTCCACAATCATTCAATCTCAAGCTATTTAAATTTGTCAAGTAGCATTAGTTTGAATATGAGCATAAGATGGGACGTTAGATTTGGCAGTTGCGCAATACACGGGTACAGGATGACCGAGGAATATGTTGTAGCGATAATTTTTTTTTTCTTTCTCATAAACAAGCTTACAGATAGCTAGATAGAGCAGGGTAAATAAGGGAAACAATATATAAAATATGAACGAACGAAGACGCATGGGATGTGTTCGTTGTCAAGTGCTTTATGCACTGTAAAGCTACAGTTATTTTATTTGTGAATGGATAGCGCATATCGGGGATTAAACGTCGGTTGGCATATTTATCGGATCTAGAGCCCTGCAATTAGAATCCCAACGTTGCATTGTTACCCAATTCAATAGCTAGAAACCTTGACACGAGGTACATGAAACGTCGTAAATTGTGTAGACTGGCTGATTTTTATATTAAACGTGTATCACATACCAATTAGTAACAGTAGAAATCATCAGTGGGTCACTCATCGCAGCTTTACTAGGCAGCGATCCGCCGTCGCATTACTTTGCTTTCTGTCCTGATATTCTCGAAAAAAAAACATACGTTTCCGTAGCAATCAGCCTACTTAGGGGAACTGATATCTATGGAGGCCTGTAAGCTCTTGAAGCATTTCCTATTTCAGGTGCTACGGAAAATTTCGTGCGCTTGGAAACCGACTCGATACGAACACATTACGTCCTGTGGCCGCTTTACTCTTCCTTTCGATGTCTATTGCTTTATAGTGTGTAGAGTTTCTTCTTAATCCGGAAGGGGTCAATGTACATGGAATTGTACGTGCACAAATTAACGAAAAAGTACATAAAGTTCGTTCTTCAAGCAGATGCGCTCGTAAAAACACGAAACTCATGAACAGACAGCAAAGTAGGTGACACACCGAGCCTACTGTGCCTACTCATGAGTTCTGCCCTTGGAATTACTGATCTGTGAGTGTATCATGCCATGGAATATAGGTAAATGAATCGCTCTCCGACCTCTGTTGACTGCAGGCCAATTATCCCACATAATATATTTTCTTCAATACGCTTGTAATCTGTCCTCTGATGATGTGCGGTGCATATGGAAGGCTTGTCTAAATGAGTAGTAGGCATTGTTAGCTTCGTATTGAGCATAGTCACTGATCAATCATAACAGCTTAAGTTGATAAAGAGGCTAAGATCATACCTGTCTAAAGGATTTCATATTTCAGTTTATCTATGTTAAAAGACGTTGTTGGTGGTGTTGTGTCTTTATCTAGAGAAATGTTCTCCTAAGTTTCATTAATTGTTATTACTATTGTTATTCTAGTGTAGGTCCGTAACAAGGTAATCCGAGGTAATACCCGTTTCTACATAGCTATAGATTCAAGTCTATTCAGTCTGTATAAGAAGAGCGGATGGAAGACTTTTCTCGTTTATTCTTAGAGGTGGCCAAATAACCACTTTTCTGTTATGCGGGAGGTATGCCCGAGAGCAACGGTGAGTGATTAGAGAGCCGATCGCGACAAGATCGGCTCGTCTGGTCTTTGCCAAACGTCAGGTACGATTATATCATAAGGCTTGAATTGACACACTGGATTCTCGCTTGGGAAATTGCTAAATAAGCCCACAAATATTGTAATTTAAGATCGTTATCTCGTGGTCAGTTCATCCGGTCTGTGACTTTCGATCAGGAAAACTGGCGAGTGATGTTCGCGTATTTTATGTATCTTTTCCGCAGTCCGCTTCCACTGTAATCGCCAAGCTCGATAATTCTCTTGGTAGTCACTACAACTATTTACTGCTTTCTGAAGTGTCAAACATGTGCGTTTGTCGTTCAGTTGTGGTGCGACAAGAGACAATTTGAAATTCTTCCTTACCGTCTATGTTGAGAATGATATAAACTCTAAAGTGCTTGCCTGCCTGCGTCATGCAGAGATAATAACATCGAAAATAGTAACACAATTATTATTTCTAGGTAGGTACTAGTTGAGATGAAACGATCACAGGTCAACTATTAGCGCGTCGCTGTCACCTGTACTTTTCGTATTTACCTGGCTACGGTACGCTCTTGTTGCTGGCAAAAATCGTCCGGGTCGAAATCTTATACATAGATTAGATTTGTACTTCATCTTAGCTCTCCGCCCTTTATCGGTTCGCAAGGATCAAACGCAAACGACGCGCGGCAGTCTTCGCTCCTCAGTCTTCAGTGGGAGCATGTTCGTCATTTGCGGCATTGCCGTTGTTGTCACGATCGGCGATAGCAGCGGCAGCGGTGACAACGTCCGCCGAGCTGTTGCTACAATTAAAGCGATGATAATCGTTCGTCGACGTCATAGAGATTTTATTTATCGCGTTATCATTTTAACTTCCCCAAGAGATGGAAAGGGTATCTAGTGGCGTGATCTAGACACTTGGCGTTATGGCTGCGATGAAAAGGTAACCGGTGCATAGTCGACTCACTGTGGCCTGAACAGCCATAACCACCAAAGATGTTCATATTGCCAATATATAAACAGTTGCCAGAGGCCGGCAAGGAGACGAGAAGCAGAAATAAACTACAGAAAGTTTATATTTATAGTGATGCTTACAAATTTGTGTTCGTGTATTTAGTTTAGATGATCAGTATTGTCGATACGGCTGGCTTGAATTAGGTTAGTTTATGTTTTGAGGTAAGTCTATGAATTTTCACCTTTGTTTACCTTTGTTCACCTTTGTTGTTGTTGATTTACCTTAGGTTTTTCTATTTCGATACATACAGTATTAGAGATGTACTATTTGCAGAAGTGAACGCTCGGTCTATCGCTCTACATCATTCCCCTTACAATCGTACAATCATTCTCGAATGATATAAGCTATTCTCAAACGTTTACGAGGGATAGTATTGCATACACCGATAACTATAGCTATTTGGCTGATGCAGTTACATCTAGATGGATCTGGTTTTTTTTTAACTTAACAGTTTTAGCTATTTAAAGCCAGTTGCGACACCACTAATCCTAATTTAGGGTAGAGTCGCTGCAAGGATCGGCCGCTTGTCAAAAGACGCCTGCGATGGCAGCCTAGCGTTTAGGTAATCACAAACAAACCTGACATTAATGTGTTTAATAACATGTTACGCCCCTTACTTGTAACAACGCTGCATTAAATCAAAAAAGAAGTTTATCGAGGACACTTTAAAGGGCTACGGAATGAGAATCAACTAATGAAAATAATTAAAAAAGGGTGAGCTTAAGCTCTACAAGTTACTGAAACAGTTGGGAACGTTAAAGTGAACACATTCACTGTATATCGATCAACTGGAAAGCTGGCTTGAAGGGTTGTCTTAATACTAACCGACGCAGAGCCAAATGTGTTTTCAAGCCCAAGTGTATCCGCTGTACCTACCTACTATCGCCGGTCTCGACCAGCTAAAACGAATGAAAACGCTAGATTGAAACTTGCTGGTAAGTCATAAACTATAAGCGCTTAGATTGATTCTAATTCAAAGAATGATAAATCATGTACTACGTATTCCATATTTCGGCAGGCCATTATTACTGTTAAACTATTAGACTGCGCGAAACAAGCTAATTCTGGGTATTTTTTGCTGCAAGCAAATTAAGACCTCAGCTAAAGACAGAAAACTCTGCTTTACAAACACTTACATATACAAATAATAATGAAGCTTTGAAATAATAACAAGTAATAAAGTGACGCCTTGTCGTCTTTCATCATTTTCCCAACTATTCGACGCTTTACGTTTCCGATACCAGAGCCGTTCTATTATACAAGCGAGAATAAATCATAGTAGAGCTACTTACCACGTTGTTACAGTGATTATATCATAATATCACCGAGCAAATACTAGAGGGAAAAAAGTTTCTTTGGGCAGTGCCGTACATGTGAGATTGTCGATCGGTCACTTGATCGATTACTTGATTGTGCCCTTGCTGAGAATGAACCCGCTGAGTCCGTCTTTCCCGCAACATCCGCACTACCCTTACTCGCCGAGGATTGGATCCTTGATGCGTTCTGATTGATGCACAGAGGATGGTATTTTTAATATTGTGCATACTGATCGGCCGATCCACAGCATAGCCTTCAAGTTTTACAGCGTTAACGCTGCTGAAGCTTGCCACTCTGCTTTGTCTTACCTTGACAACCGCAAGCTACGGATGCCGCACATTGATATGGCTTTTTTCGGGTATTTCCTGTTTCCTTAGCCCTCTCACAGGAAGTGCGTGTTAGCATTTCCGGCATTTAGCCTCGAACTAACTCGCTGACTATAGTTACTGTGATGAAGTGCGCGAAGCTAGTTCAAGTTAAATTCAAGCTTAACTTCCAGAGCATTCAGCAAGCATTTAGCATGCACAACGCGTGCGAACGTCTCCTCGTTCTCCCCGTAGCGACAAAAAAATACCGACTAGGCGACTCGGCTTCATTTGGACAGAAACAATCACAGAGATCCTTTTTGAAGCCGTCCCACACGCGCAACTCGAATCACACTCGGAACGTTACCCGTAAATACGATGCGCCTTCAGTATCATCCCATTGGCCTACTATATGGAGCCTTCAAATATATATATGTATGTATATA